CGGAGGAGGCACCTGCTGGAGGCGCAGGCCAGGCTTAGAGCCTGGAGTAAGAGAACCCCCCACGGGGTCCGGCCCAGCGCGGGTCAGGAATGCGGCCACGTTGCGGGCGCGCGGAAACGCTTTTTGGCTATAACAGCCGGTAGCGCTTTGCTGGTATCGCGTGAGCCCACGAGGACAGAAGCTTCCCATTCATGTGCTTTCATAAGGCCCACCTGGGTGCCTGGCCCACAGGCCGTGCTCGGTGGCGCATCTCGCGCTGTCCGGAATCTCCCGTAGCCCCCTCTCCGCAGGGGGGCGCGCAGGCCGGTGCCCCCACACTGCCCTCTTGGTGCAGGCTGGAACGCGTAAGCCGCTTTCCTCCCCAGATTCCCGGAGACGGCTACAGCCCTGAGTGCTCGCTGCCGGAGGTCCCTCCTCCGATCCTGGCCTTCCGCCACTGCCCTTTTAACCCGGGAGACAAATTAGGCGGCCAGCTGGCCTTCAAAGCCGCAGACTCTGCCCCGGCTGCCTGTTTGAATGAGCCTGGAGTCGGTGGCGCGGGGAGCTTGCAGAGTACCGCGCGCCTTTGCGCTGCCGCCAGGGTGCAGCCTCTGCCGGAAGCAGAGGTGCGGGAACGTGGGCTCTGTCTCCCGGCATTCCCCCTCCGCCTGCTTCCGTAGAGCGCCCGGGGAAGGGGCGCGTGCCCACGTTGCCGGTGTGCCCTGCACACACACTGTGTGAGCGAGGGCTACATCTGCAGCTGGTCGGGATCTGGCTGGCTTTAAAGGTGGAGCAGCGTTGGTTTCGTTCAAGATTTCTGGGAGAGCAGCTGTCTGAATCATCTGGGCCACACTTTTTGTTTGTTTCAATCCCATAATTTGATTGCAGAGCGGTGGTGGCGCTGTTTTAGGTTGTCGTAAAAGCTCCAGTCGGTCCAGGCAGAAGTGCTTCCACCCCGAGGCAGCTCTGCGTGCTTCTGTCACGCTGTCCCGAGTAGGGGTGGGGGGTGGGGGGGTCGGCTGAGGGGGGACTTGGTTGCAGTGACAGGCTGGGGTTTCTGCAGTGCCCAGGACCTGGGGGGCTGTCACTCATGCTGGAAGCATGTGACCCTATGCAGAGGGTGCCCAGTCTCTTGGGATGTGGGCGGGTGGGATTTATCCTTGGGAAGAGTCTTGCCAGACGGGATTCTTGGGCTTATGTCAGGGTGTCTTCTTTCTCAGGCTGTGGATCAGGTTGGGGTGTCTGTGTGGCGTGTGTGCACACGTGCATGTGTGTGTGTGTGCACCTCCACACTTCCCCACCCTTCCCCTGGGCTTCCAAAGAGGAAACCACATTGTCCTCAGCCGTCCTCGAGCTGTGAGCGCCGGGCTAGCGTTGAGCCTGCCCGCATCCTCCGTCGAATATCCCAAAGGCTATTGGTTCGGGGCCGAGTGGCGTGAAGGCAGGGAGACAGGAAGACACGCCCGCCAAGAGCGGCTTCTTGGACAGCCCTGCTGGAGCAGTGGCCAGGGCCTTCCTGTGGAAGCAGCTGTGTTGGGGGCCCGGTGGGTGGGACGCTGGGACAGGAGCACTACCCCCGGCCGTTTTCCTTGGCCGAGTGTGTCCCTGTGTGGCTTGAATGGGAGGCTTGCACTCAGGTTTCATTTTTATGCCTTTTGGTTAAGAAAGGAATGCTTGCTTGTCGGAGACAATCCCTGTGGAGGACGAGAGAATGCCCCTGTGGTCCCCTGCTGGGGTAGGACCACTGTCACTGGTGCATGTCCGTCTCGGCCGTGTGTGCAGTGTGTGTGTGTCAGTGCACAGCGTCTGCGTGTACCTGGACCCCACTGTGTGCAAGGACCCACCGCTTGCTGGTTTTTTTTTTTTTTTGCCCGAGGGAGTATGTGCTCACCAGAGAGAGACACAGAGAGAGGGAAGGGGGAGAAAGCACCCCCGTGGGACATGGTCACGCCACAGCCCCGCCTCCTCCATTTCTTCGTCCGAGCAGGATCCTGGGCACACATATGTGCCTGGTGTGTTTTCAGGCCGCCGGGTCCGGGATTTGAACTGCATGGGTGGCCCTGTGGAATCCAGCCCCATTATCCACTAGTCCATGGCGCTGGCCCCACAGTTAGCTTATCAGCTCAGCGAGACCACGTGTACGCGGACCGCGCCTCCTTCACGGCCGCTCGTGTTCCTGTGGCCGCCGAGCTGGAACACCGCTGTCCCTGTGGACCATTTTCCTGTCGCACACAACACGGATGTCCTGTCCCCTGCCTCCCTGTGTGCCTTGGGGCACATCCTTGGGGTGGTTTCCGGGTGGGGAGCCCCGTCCCAGAAGGTGCGCTGGGGGAGCTGTGAGGCTGTTCCGAACCCCGAAGCAGGGCTGCCCCAGGGCCCCTGGCCCTCCACCCCGTCGCCCTCCCTGGGGCTGCCTATGCCTGTCGCTCTCCCTGGGGCTGCCTATGCCTGTCGCCCTCCCTGGGGCTGCCTATGCCTGTCTTGCTTCTGTTAATCTGACGAGGCCGATTTACATCTCTCGGTTCCTGCGAGGCTGAGCTACGGTGATGCGCTTTGAAACCTGTCAGTTTCCGCTGCGGGGTTGTGGCCTGGCACCCAGGGACCTCGGGCCAGTGAATTCACCCCCGAGCCCAGCTTCCTTCTTCAGCTCCAAGAAGGGGTCAGGTCCCATTGCCTCCCGGTGAGACTTTAAAGTACAGGATCACATGCCTGTGGGAAGGCCCCGTCCTGCCCAGTGTCTCATTGGGACCTGACAGCGGCCTTGTGAACAGGCAGGTGGCGGGGTCTTTCCTTCCTCCAGCCAAGGTAAGGGGGGCGTGGCGGAGGGGACGTGGTCCCCATCACCGAACTCAGTCTGTCCTTTGATGAGGGGACAGAAAATAAAGGGGGAGT